CTGAATAAAGCTTTGATTATACCGAAAGGGCTTTTTCACTCAGTACTTCCTTATATACTGCGTTTGTTTCTGAATGTCTGAAATCAGGATACTGACAGATTTTGAGGTCTGCAAGTCATTTGGCAAAATCATGAACTTAGGACTGTTTCATAGACTGTAGTGGTGTTTTTCCCTCTGGTATCAAAATCTTGCTTTAAAAATACATGTTTCCTCCCGAAGCTGAAAACTTGACACCTTGAGTTTAATCACATTTAAAAATTGTTTAAAAAGAAATAAGAAGTCAAAGACAGGGCTGGAGGTAGGCTAGGATTAGTTAATGTCCCCAAAGCTGGTCTGTACCCACACCCTGATTGAATTACTTTCCAGTTTGCCCTTATCTTCTCATCTGGCCTTCCAGCATTCACACTGCATCCTGAATCACAGGGTTGAGAACCTAAAATAAAACCGCACAGGTCTTTCTACTCTTCAGTCTGATAGCATCATATTATTCTTTTTCTTAGTCACATTCTGTAATTACATACTTATTTTAGTATTTGTTGCTGTTAAGGTCTGCTTCTCTCCCTACATCAGCGCCCAGCACATGACCAGCCACATCTAAGCTGCTGCATGTTTTTGTGGAGCCCATGAACGAAGAGTGGTTTTTACATTTTTAAATGGTTGAAAAAATCAAAAGAAAAATAATAATTCATGACATATGAAAATTATAGGAAATTCAAATTTCAGTGTCCATAAAGTAAAATAATTAAGAAAATAAAGTGTTACACGGCCATGCTCATTCGTTTACATGTCATCTGTGGTCTGTTGTACTAGGCAGAGTTGAGTAGTTGTGACAGAGACCATATGGCCTGCAGAGCCTGAAATATTTACTCCCTGGCCCTTTTCAGAAACAGTTGGCTGGTCCCTGGGTGAGACATTAAATTCCATGAATATAGCCATGGGTTCATGAGAGCCCCAGCAGTAAGCCCAGTACTTGGTACCATTCAGTAAATGTTTGTTGAGTGACTGAATAATGGAATAATTAGATGTATGGATTGTGGCTGCATCTTACTCGTGCTTTAGCCCATGTTGCCTGCCCTGACCAGAGTTCTAAGGCTCTGGTTCACTCTGGTATACAGTATGGCGGCAATTCTCAAACTTTTTCGCCTGACTCCCCCTTCTACCCCTAAAGAAAAATCTGAGGATCTCCAAAAGCTTTTGCTTGTCTGGGTTTTATCTACTGATGTTTACTGTATTAGAAACTAACACTTATAAATTTGAAAAACATATTAATTCATTTACAAATAACAATAAGAAATCCATTTTTGCTAACAAAATACATTTCTCTGAAAAATAGCAATTTTCCCAAAAGCAATTTAGTGAAAAGAGCGTGTTGTTTATAAGTTTTATAAATATTTTTAATGCCTGGACTAATAGAAGGCAGCTGGACCTTGTTAGTTTTTCTGCATTTAATCTGTTGCAAATTTATTTTGTTTGAAGTAGATGAAGGAAATGCAGTCTCACACAGATATATACTAGGAAAATGGAGAAGTGTTTTAATGCTATTTCAGAGAATAGTGGGTATTCTGCTTTGATACTATGCCAAAATTTGACAATTAGTAGTTTCTTAAAGGTTAATTGCAACATGGAATCCGAAACCATATCAATGAGTATTTTATTCTGGCTTGCATTGAAATCCTTATGAAGGGATATTTTACTTTTTGTAGTATAATTATTAAAGGAGTCACAAAAGCAATGTAGTTAAATTCTTATTTTCCATTCAGGAAATTCCCAAAATCCTTAGGGAAATTAGAGGTGTTTCTGGATATTGTTAATCCAGACTAAACAGGATGTAAAAGAGGGACCCGAAGTTGTACACACATGCTATTCTATGCTTATTCACTGGACTTTGCTACTGTTTTTATCTGATACGGCTACCCAAATACAATCTCAGTATGATGAATTTCTCTAGTACTCGTTTTGTGTAACTTCTTTTTTAAAATTAAATCATCAGGCTTGTTTTAACTCCTTTTTTTTTTTTTTTTTAGTTGATGTGAAACATCCATAAACTGAAATTAGGTTAACATTGGTGCCAGGTTGGTTGAAAAATACAAAGGGTATTAACTTCTCAGCTTCAGGGCACAAGATAATTGGATGAGGGGAAAGTTAGAAAAAGATGCTTCTCTTCTCCCAACATGACATAACACTCCATGAACAGCTAGGAGCATTAATGTTAATTCACAAAAGTTTTAAATGGAACCAGTAGCAAAACATTACATGATTTAAAAATATAGCCACAATCATAAGCTGTATTGCATTAAGATTGTTTTCTTGATTTTGAGATGTTAATCCTGTGGGATTAAGCTGTCAACTACTGCTGGTTTGTATTTTGAAGAGTACAGCCTGAGAACCCAAGAATAGTAAATACGTACAGAGGAAAAAAAAGACTAGATAAAATATTGACAGTAGTTACCTTTGGGTGATGGGATTATAGGTAATTTTTTTTGTTTGTTTCTTCCTTGTCCTTTTTTAAACATTAATTACAGGTGTTTATTGATCATTTATTATGTGTCATGTATTGTATTGCATCATGGGTTTAGAGCAGAGAACAAAGCTAATTCAGCCCTTACTCAGATCTTCCAAATAGGTCAATTTTCATATTTCCCATAATACGTTTTCTTTAATGACATAAATATAGCAAATATTAAAAAACCTAAATGAATTGAAAAAATACAGTGTCTGTTTTTTCTGTGTTTTTTGAGGGGGGCGGGGAGAGAGTTGTGAGTTTTTGGTGGTTTTCTCTTTAACTACAATTTGGAGTCTGCTTCATGACAGTTACCCTAATATCACCCAGAAGTTCTCTGCAATGGGCTTGATGCCAAATGAATTAAAGCCTTCATGTTGGGAAGAGGAAGTAATAGCCATTTTCTGAGCTGTGTTTTCAGTGGTGCTTTGGAGCTGTGAAGATACTGTCTCCAAAGGATACCCACCATGACCTGGAGCCACAAAAGGGCTGAATGTAGCGCTCAGATGGGCCCTCCACTATTTTGCTGCTAGTTAAGGTTTGTAACTCATTTCAGAGGCGGATCAAAGCCGAATGACAGCAGAGCTTGAAAATTGGCTTGTGTCCATGGCCTGGAACAGCTTGGAAAGTGTACATCTTCTGTATGGAAACATCTGGGAATAAACTTGATGATGAAAGAAACCTCCTTTCCAAAAGGACTCTTATTTCACTTATGTGAATATTTTCTGACTACTAAAAGATAATGGAATTACTATGGGATTAGGGTTTATGTTTGATCCTAGACAGGAAAATAGAAAAATGGTGGCTGGTATAATGAGCAGTTCTTCGAGTGAATCATTTTTGACAACCAGTCTCTTTCCTGTTTTTATAAATAAAGAATTCCCAAGGCTTTTCAGAGATGTTTGCTCTATAGGAAGTCTCAGTATGACATAATATATTTGTGAGAGAAAAATCATGACTAATTTTAAAAGCAGCTCACTGACTATTCAGGCAGAAAGGAGTTGGAAGCCACGAGCAGCTCTTTGACACAGACTTTCTGTGAAACTGTGACTCCTGAGCTGGCCTTCCCTGAAGTTTCTGCTCTTAAGACATTAAGGAGCTCAGCAGAAAATAAAGATCAAATGGAGGCTGAAATGATGCAGAGAAGGCCATGAATTTAATTGACTCTCTAGAACAAGTGCATGAGGCTAAATTTTAGAAACAGGATTCCTTTATCTAAAATGAAAGAGGCTTGGATGGGGGGATATTGTTTAGGATCTTGCTTCTGCCTAAGTTGAGCATGGCCAGAAAAATGAGGGGCACCTTTTGAGGGCTGAGAGAGAGATTGATGACGCAAGAGAAAATACTGTATCCAACAGGTAGTAATATTGTAGAATTCACTGTGCCCAGTGGGGGTGGCTGAGCATACAGTAAAATGAGAGGATCTTCACGATTTCTTCTTAAGTAAGGCAAGTCAGATGAGAACTGTGATACTGAACACCCATTGGTAGTGTTGATTACCTGGAACTTGACTTGAGTAAAAGGCCAAGCACCAGCATGTATGTGTGTGTGTGTGTGTGTGTGTGTGTGCGCGCGCGCGCATGTAGAAGTGCTCTGGGATGTCTACCAAAATTTTATTTTCATACTTGTATTAGCAATAAAAATAAAATGTAAAATAGTAATAAAGTAATAATTTTTTCTGGATATGTGAGTCCACAAGGACTTATATAGGTAAAGGAGTGTTATTTGAGGTATTTTGTGCAATTTGTTAGGAAAGGGCAACCTGCACAATTCTCCTATGTAAACTAAAATAGCTTTCCCAGCAGACCCTGGATCTACTTCAAGATAACATTTTTTAGGCTATTTCAGTCTGGCTCAAAAATCTACCACTGGACAAGGTGACTCATTTTATACACTTGAGCATTCAGCCTGGCCTTCTGCTTCCATACCTTCCCTCCCTGTAGTCTTTTCTCCTCTAATAGCCACACTTCTAAAACATAAGTCTGAACTTTTCTCAAAAGTGTCCAATGGTTTCCCATCTCACTTACAAGAAGATCTGGAGTCATCTCAGTGACTTCTGAGTCCCCACCTGCCTCCCTGCTCCCATTGACCGCCCCTTTCCCACCCTGCTCCCACCACACAGACCTCTTTGCTGCACCTTAGACCCATCTGCACCTCCCCACCAAGGTCTCCCCAGGCATCTGCGTAGCTTACTCCTCATTTCTGTCAGGTGCCTGTTCAGATGTTACCCCATCCTTCACCCCTTCCCTTCTTCTGTCACTGTCTGTCCCCTTGCATCCAGTTTCATCTTTCTCCTTAGCACTTAGTATATTTTTTAGTGACTATCTCCTACTAAAATTGTACTGTCTAAATGTAATCACAAAAATGGAAATCTCTTTTGTCGTGGCTGTGGCCATAGAGCCTAGGGCAGTACCCAACAGAGTAGACAGTAGCTATGTGCTGAATGAATGAATTCCTGTCTCACTTCTCCATGTTGTGTTCTGACATTTTTTCCTTGCAGAGAAGTTGTTACATTCAACCATTTCCTCGAAGCAGCGGCTGAGAAGGAGGTTCAGGGGAAAGCTCGGCTCCAGGACTTCATTGAGAATCTGTTGCAACGGGTAGAGCTGGCGGAAAAACAGTTAGAGTACTATCAGAGCCAGCAGGCCGCGGGCCTCTGCAGAGATGTCAGGGAGCACGTGGTAAGTATCGCAGGCTTAGCCAAAGAGTGAGGCCCTGGGATTTGGCGAGATCAGGTCAAGGACAGAGGAAAAGGGAGCTGGGGAGTGACTTGCAAGGTCTCTCTAGACATCATCTGAGAACATTGTCCTGGCCATGCCTGTGTTATAGAAGTGAGATAGGTGAACCCAAGACACCCAGAAGTAAGCTTAATTCTGGATACACAGTCTCCAGTTCTTCCCCTTTCTGACCCCACCCACAGCAAGCTGAACTGGTAGAAATATTTTTATATTTGTAGAATAACAGTTTGAAGTATCCAAATATATCATCTGTCCCAACCTTGGTGTAGATCAGAAGATAATTACTGTGTTTTCATAAGGGAATCTTATGAAAGCTTCAGCCCTTCTCAGCAAAGCAAAATTTAACCACCTACTTTTTTTTTCTTTTTCTGTAGTAGGAAGGAAAACACTATTCAATAGCCTCTATAGATTAGGCATTCTTTAAGTATATTTTCAGAGACACAAAAATTCACAGGTGATAGCTCTATTACAGACTATACTTTTGCATAAAGTTTTACATACAGTTTCAGGGGCTTTAGAAACCGTGAGAGTCCAGGTAAGAACCATAGAACCGTCTGAACTGAAGGTTCAGACTCTCATACTGACTTGATCAAGATTCCCTGGTCTCTCTGGAGGGTGGGGGAAGGTACAAATAGTCATGCTCTAGATGAGGGGGGTGGGTGGTGATTTTTGTCCTCTATAAAACTTCCTTGGTGGTATAAATAACAAAGCCAAAGAAAGGATTTTTGAAACCCCAAAGTCGTTTACTTATAACATTTTTATTACTTATAAAATTTCATTTGTGCTTACTTCCTTCCCAGAAGATTTAAAAATGATCCTTTTACTTCCCCTCAAATAGACTATATATATAAGGAAATAGGGAACATTCATGCTAATCAAAAGTTTACTAAGATTGCTGCTGCTGGTTGATGAAAAGCTTAGTTTGAGCATTCTGGAAACCAGGATAAAAAGGAAACATGGATAAGTAATAAAAAGGGGAATAAAATGCAGGGCAGGTGGGTAAAAGAATGAAGACGGGAGGGAGAGAGACAGACAACAGGAAAGAAAGGAGAGAGGGAAGAAGATGAGAAATCTTACCCAATACTTACTGTAATGTACACTCAGTAATATAAGTTCCAGAACCTTCTAGAAACAAAGTAGACTGACAGGAAATACATTTGTTTCATCTGTGAGGTTTCTGTGTTCAAAGCATTTTCAGCTAAATGACATACTGTTTTCTGGATGAGGGTCTTCAGTCCCCCGAGGGGGAACCTTTACTCTCCTCCTTGATTCCGCTGTTACCACCTGGGAAACCTTGAGAGTGTCCAGGCGGAGCTCACTAGCTGGAGGGCACTCTAAGCCTATCCTGCCTTCCCCTTACATCTTGGCCTGCTTCAGGAGAGGGTTGTCGTATGAGGTCACAGAGCTCACATACGAGGTGAAAAGACCTGCCTTCCAGATCATTCTCACCCTCCTTCTGACAGGGCATGAGAGTTTATCTTTCCGGGTTTTTAATTCTATAAAATGACACAGTTAAACTAGATGCTCTATAAGATCTTTTGGCCTCTTAAATTCTTTGCTTATCACATGACTGTGATGGTTAGGGATTCTAAAATTGAAATGTAGCGTTAATATTTTCAGTCTTGCTAATAACCCAGAGCTAAGAAATGTGTGAAATTCTACTATGCTAAGCCATGAGGATCTTAGAAAAAAATGGAATGTGAAGGGGAAGAAAGGAAGCCCATTAGTTCTCCCTCTTATTTACAGTTCTGTGCTCACTTCCTCTGCACAGTTTATTTGTCCAGCTTGAAAATTGAACACCTTCCATAAGACATAGCTGGTCATTATTTCTCATTGTGCTGTGCCATGTAATCAAAAGTTGAACAGCATCTCTGCTCTTTAGCCAAGTGTATGTTTAAGACTTTTTGTATATGTGCATGTACACACAACATATATACATGTACACATACACATAAATACATATACATACATGTACACGTGCATGCATATGTATAAACAAATATGGTAGGAAATTAATAAATACTTATGTTCAAGCCCTCTGTGCCCCAAAAATGAATAACATCATCTGCCTTTGTCAGACTTGATTTACCAAGGGGAGGATTGATTAATTCAAACACTATGTAGTTAAGATTACAGCGGGGGATTTGGACATGAGAGCTGTTTGTGAGTAAAGCATGATCACGCTGTAGGGACGTGAACTCTGGCTAGAGGAGGGAGCCACATCTCTCTGAGAAGACCAAGAACGAAGTGTTTGATTTCTGAAAGGATTCAGCACATGCAGTTTGCCCTGTGTTCATGTATAATCCTCTAACTCTGCTTGGGACCATAACGGACCACATCATGAGACAGTCTACAGACCCTGAGACCATGTCTCCTTTTAACTTTAGTCTATTTCATCGTAATAATACAGACTTAGCTAATGAAGTTAGGAGTCATGTCTTTGATGTAGTGAAAGTGCTGAGTCTGGACTCCCAAAGTAACTGTGGCTCCAGCTACACAGAGGAACTTGGATGCTTTTAGCTGGAGAAGCTTTGGATCATATTTCTATTAACCTCTGTCCTGGCTCAGTGAAGGGCCAGAGCACTGAGATGCCTAGGTTTTTGGAGCCTCATTCTCCATCCCCCGCCCCCTGAGCAGCGCCCTGGCCCCAGTACACCCAAGGAGGGAGCAGAACATTCTCACCTATGCCCCCAACACACACACACACACACACACGCACGCACCCCACCCCCAGCCTCTCACCTATGCCCCCCAACACACACACACACCCCCTCCCCCCCCACCCCAGCCCCAGCCCCTTCCTCCAGAAGTTGGGAATACCATGCCCAGCCTGGCCCTGCTCTTGCCATCGCCACTAAGACTACACTACAAAAAGTGTGAATCTTCTTTATTGCCCTTTTTCCCCTCTCCCCAGTTTCCTCCTTCTCCTCTTTTTCTTATTACCACCTTCAGATAGCAGTGAAATTTCTGGATCAGTGTATAAAATCTTTCTAAGGTGTCTTCAAACTTCAAGATTCTTTTGTATTCTAGAAAAATTTCCTTTACCGCTCACATTTAGTGCCTTTTCTGAAATAATGTTTCGGCATCTGTATCTTTCCCTTAATCCTCTTGAGCATTTTTGTTCCTTTTCACCTGACTGGTTTCTAAAAGTGTGCTATGCTTACTCAGATATTTTCTCTTTATGCTCTGCAAAATGCTGTCGAATTAGACACAAAGTGACCCAATATCCCATCTGCCAAAATCACAGAACTGCTCACACAGAAGGTCATGAAACAGCTTGGATAACCTTATTTTAAGGATTGCATTTATTTCCTGCAGGCTGCTAAATTAGGACTAGCAGTAATTCATTTAACACTTATTTATTGAGGACACAGTGCTTACCGAACGCTGAGGAAAGTGCTGTGAATGAGATAGATGAGGGCTCTGCTCTCGGGGAGGAGGGGCTCACAGGAAGCAAGTAAACAAATAACGAAGGTAATTTTGTATAGTGATAATTACTGCAAAGAAAAAAGTAAGATGATATGTTTGAGATGTCCACTTTAGTGAAATGCTTTCAGGAAAAGCCTTACTGATGAGGCAGATTTGCACTGTGACCTGAATAGCAGGAAGGGGCCAGCCCTGAAAATTTGGACATGGACCGTTCTAACAAAGGGGTAGGAATTGCAAGTACCTTAGGAGGGAACAAGCTTGGCACATTTGAGTGCTAAGATGTGAAGTCAGAGAATTGGGAAGGATCCAGATTGTGCCAGGGCTTGTAAGTCATGTAAGGAGTTTGGATCTCTTCCAGAGGACGGAGGGAAGCCATTGGAAGGTTTTAAGTTGGAGGTGATCTGTGTTTTATCAGACTTAGTCTGGCTGCTCTGTGGGGAATTGACTGGAGGAGTGTAAGAATGAGAGATGGATTAGAAGGCTGTTACGGTGGCAGGGGAGAGGAGGTGGCAGTTTGGATAGAGTGGAGGTAAAGAGAAGTGATGGGTATAGAATATGTTCTGGGAGTAGAATTGACAGGACCACTTGGCTTTGTTGAAGGATTAGATTTAGTGGGTGAGGGAGAAAGGAATCAAGAATGAACCTAAGGCCCTGGCTGGGTGGCTCACTTGGTTGGAGCATCATTCCCAGTGCACCAAGGTTGCGGTTCAGTCCCTGGTCAGGGCACATACCGGAATCAACCAATGAATGCATGGATGAGTAGAACAGCAAATTGGTGTTTCTCTCTGTCTAAAAGTCGATAAAATTTTTTTAATTAAAAAGAATGAATGTAAGGTTTTAGCCTGAACAATTGAATATGCAGTGCTATTTCTACAAAGGGAAGTTGGAGGGAGGCTGGGTGTCCAGTCTCCCCAAGCCTATTATAACAACCTGAGACGCCATTTTTGTGTTTTAGAAATTGTTAGAGTAGCTCTCAGTGCAAGGCTATTTATAGTTTTCCAACCTGGACACTCAGTCCAAGACACTCTTGATCCCCCTCTTTATACAGTCCTCTCTCTGTCCGAAAAGAAGACAGTGGACTAGGGCAAAGAGAGGCAGGTGGATGGGCTAAGTGAAAGAGCCTTTCCATCTTCCTGAGGCTCTAGGGCCCGAAGGAACAGTGGCCTCTTGTGTTCGCAGGGAGGAGAGCATATGAAACTCTATGGTGTGTGATAATCAGCCCCACCTTGTAATCTGTAAGATCACTGGAGAAATTCTGATCCAGCCTGGATTCCAATTAACTTTTTGTGTATACAGTTCCTTGCTCTTATACTCATATATACAAACACACTTTTTAGGGAAGCTGTGCTGAGTGAAGACTTGCTCTGGCTTAGAAGGTGCCACATTGGGTTTGAAGTTCAGTCCTAACACTGGTAAAGCATTGAGGCTTCAAACCAGCTGCTTAACTTTTCTGCCTTAGTTTCCATATCTGTAAAATGGGGATGATAAGGTAGGTTTACCTGTTAGGGTTGTTCTGAGGGCTGTGTTTATACATGCTGAGTAATTTGCCCAGAGTGTGATGTATAGACATGCACAATTTATGATACCTATGGCTGCGGTTTGCGGCTCATCTTTACTGATCTTTACTTATGCATCTCCCTTTTTGAAATACACAGTATATTGTTATTTCCTGAGGTCCCAGCAGGGTCCATTACTGACATTCATAGGTGCTAAGGTTGTAGTTCTTAAAACTACAGGGACTCCTTTGCACATTTGAAAACACTGTTGGCCGTTTCCCCAGAGAGGGGAGCAGGGAAGCATGTAGATACTTCCTCTCTCTTTCAAAAAATTCCAAAGGGTATTGTATATACATATAAGCAATGTCATCAAACAATATGTATGCAGTGTTTTTTTTTTTAATTTATAGATTTTAGAGGGAAAAAAGCTGATTTGTTGTTCCACTTACTTATGCATTCATTGGTTGATTCATGTCTGTGCTCTGACCGGCAATTGAATGCACCACATTGGGGTATGGAGACAATGCTCTAGCCAATAAGCTAATCAGCCAGGGCCAAGCTATATGTTTACATCCATACAGTAAAGTGAAAAAATTTGTTATGCCCCCGTTTATTAATGCAAAAAAACAGGGGAGGGACTTAAAGGGAGAAAGATCCTGTACATTTTTTTTTTTATGGTTTACACATACACTAAAGTTTATTAAAGGAGCCCAGTTAAGAAACTCTTATTGGTGGTGGTGGGCTAGGAGGGGCAACGTAGAAGTGCTGATGCCCCTGGGGCTCCGAGAAGCTGCCAGCCTGACGTTCATCTAAGCCATCTGTCCTACCTTTTTGGTATATTGCATAACCTCATGATCTTCAGGCAAGAAAGGTGCCTTTTTCCGTTCATATTTACTAAACTCATGCTGAAACCAGCCCATGTGAACAGGGCCAATTATAATGCTGAGTTTTGATTGTCAAAAGGCAGAAGGCAAGAATGTCATCTTGCTTTCCTGGGGTCATGACCCTCAAAAGTTAAGAAAACTTCTTTCTGATTTGCTCCTGACTAAAGCTCAAGGTGCAAAGAGGAAAACAAGGGAAATGATCCTGTTATGCTGAGCTTCATTTCCCAGGTGTTTGAGTCTAGCAGGGACGCGTGTCTTGGCTGCATTAAGCCCCGACACCAAGACGGTTCTTTCTCCACATTTCCTTTGTCTGTCACCCTCATCTTCCTTTTGTTTGCCTGCCACTTCTTTTCCTGAAGAAGGTCAGGAACAGAAGGGTTGGAATACACTGGGTTGGCCTATAAAATGGACGGTCACATCTGGATCACAGAATGATAATTATCGATTTATTCTGTAAATGATATTCCTCGCTTGGCCACCAAAGTGCATGAAGATATTTTAATGGGAGTGGAAAATAATTTCCATGTTAGATGGCCTCAGAGAATTGTGGAGTTGGTTGATCTTCATATGCTCTCAGTTTAGAAATGATGTATTTTTGGCAATAAACATTTTATGCCAATTTTCCCCTTAGTTGATATGCTGTGACCAGCTACAGCTGTAGTAAATTAGCTGCAAATACAGTCTGAATCAATCAAGAAATAATGGTGTATCGTTCCAGTTTTTAAAAACATGTTTCTTCAAATGTTGCTCTATTGGGAGGCTCTTTGACTTCTTGAAATTTTTGAGATCTGCTGACACTGGCTTCTTGGAAATCACCGAACAGGGAGCCACAGAGGGTCCCCAAGTGAGCAGAGGCTGAGCCTGAGATGTGCCTGTTCACTGCTGGGACAGGTGGGCATTGTCCCTGATAGTTACCACTTCCTTAACAGGAATACCATGTCTTAAAAATATAAGCAAGATTTTAAAAACTAAACTCAACCTTCAAGTTAAGTAATGTTTTTTCTTGTTTTCCTTTAGCTTACAGATATCTCTTCAAATAGGAAACCCAAATGCCTGTATGTATATCTTTTTATATGTGGGCCATTTGATGTTTGCATAATGTTTTTCTGTTGTATTTTATATGACAACTAGAACATAAATGGTTTTGAGGGTCTCAGGTAAAAATTTACCTGCTTATATACCTAACTTTCTAAAATGTGGATATGACTTTTAACTGTGCTAGTTGTCTATTAGTACGTGGCAGTATGATAGTACTATATAATATCTATATAGTGTTATATGATATTTCTCTTATTGAGGTATAGTATAGTCATAATAGCTCTGTAGTACTATTAATATAGGGAATGTAGTATATTACATATATGCTTTTATACCACGAATCATTTACTTTATAATTGGTGTACTACAGATTTGTCTGATTCCCCTAATAGTCACTTAAAGACTCATGAGATATGGGTTCTGCTCCCATCTTCTCTGTAGACTACCTGTATGTGTTGTATTATCCCGGGTAGTCATTTAAATTTTCTAGTTCTTAGTTTTTATCACTGGTAAATAGGACTAGTAACATTTCTCTGAGAATGCAGTGTCATGAGATCACTTCATGAAGGTCACAGGAATTTTTGAAAGAAAAATACCAATATATATTATTTGGTTTACGGGCAGCATTATTGCTGCTCTGGCATGTGGGAGTGATTGCACCATGGGTAGTTTTTATTCTTTTAAGGCTTTAAAGAAATCTTTCTGCTCATCTCCCTCCTCCTGCCCGACCATCTGTAGAAGCCGAGGGCACCCACATTCGGTGTGTAACCACCCTGATCTCAAGACTCACTTTCATCCAAAGGGAAGGAGCTACCTAAAAAAAGCCAAGGACGACAGAGCCAGCATGCAGCCTGCTAAGTCCATTCACGAACAGGCCGAGATCCCAAGGGAACTCTGCAGACTGCCGAAGAAGGGGGAGCCTCTGGGGTTTAGTCGGAAAGGCAACATCAGGCCCAAAATGGCCAAGAAAAAGCCAACAGCGCTCGTGAACATCATCTAAAAGGGTGGGTGGCCTGGACCATTGTTGTTGGGCTTTGGGGAATGTTTTAAGGGCCAACGATAATGTTTTTTTCACACATCCCATAAAATACAATGGGAAAGCAAAGTGCCTAACACATTTACTTCCTGTCCCTACAAGCCTGTGGATTAACCAGGATTTAACAAACAGAAATCTTTGTGAACCAAAATTTTATTACAGGCCCCTTGTAGAACCTGGAGGCAAATTACAAAAAGAATTTTTTTAAAAAGCAGTCATTCCAAAAATTTTAGTAAAAGAAAGCTCCAACTTCTAAAATAATTAGCCCAGTATCCAGTACTTTCTGCATCTGGTGTTCTATGCAGTGGCGATCAGTTCTCAGACCAAAGGCCACACAAGATGTCAGGTACTGGAAAAAGATTCACTGTGCCCACTGCTTGCTAAATTATGAGACAAGGAGTGGGAATATAAATTCTCTTAATAGCAGTGAAATAAAAATGTTTTTGTTTTTAACTTCCCCCTCAATTTGAAAGCCTCCAAAATAAAAATTCCTGTTTCTCATAGAATTCTGGTTAATCAAGATTTCAGTGTTTGGGTTGCTATAGGGACCCATTCATTAGATTTCGGTTTTCATTTCAATGGACTGTTTTCCAGTTTGTTTGATTCTGGTTGTTTGTTTCCCTGGGTGCACGTTTATTCAGATTTTGGTGCCCACCTGCTGTCTTCTGTGGCTGGGTGTTCTGTGCCCTAAGAACGTGCTGCCAGCCTCTACCCTAATAGCTGTTTCCATTGCTGTGGTTGGGGGAAGACGTCAAACCCTTTAGATCAGCATCCACCACTAGTTCAGGGTGTGAGTGATTGGATGCCAACAGGCTGCCCATGTCGAGCGTGTGAGCCATCCCGGAAGCACTGCAGCCCTTCCCTGAGACCATCCCTGGTGGCATCAGCGGCCTCCCTTGTCCACCTCCTGCTGCTTCCGTGCCCGTTCATGACTAAAATATACGTTCTTGCCTTTCAACCAGGTATCTGAAGTGTGCATTGTACACTGCTTTCTAAAGCAGTTTCTGAAATAAGCTGTACATGTGGGATCCAGAATCTGAGACCGTCCTCCTCTCCTGCCCTGAAATGGCCTTTGCTTCCACAAAGACCCATCTGTTAAGAATCTCCTGCTTTATGACGTTCTTCAAGAATGAACTCTCATGTTTTTATAAACTTAATATTATCATCAAATCTCCTGCAGAGTTTACAAGTGCTGACATCCTTCAGGAAATAATAGTAGTGTCCTATAACAAATATATACACATATACATACATACATATATATATATATGTATATATATATAACATACAGAATATATATGTCAAGTATATTAATTTATTTTTAAATACTCATGGAAAAGGTGTGTGTTTGTGGTGGGTGGTTTTTAAATTATATTTGTTCATGTAAATTGAATTCTGTCATTTTAAAAATTAAAACTGTAACCTAATTAACATTAGTAGAATTATGATTGTTATTACAATAAAGATCAGATTAGCAGTGCATTAAAATTAGGTAATAAAGCAATTACTTAACATGACAGTAAATTGAAAAGTATAACTTACATTATACAAACATTTTTAACCTGTCGTAGTGAAAATGTTGATTTTTAAATCTTCACTTTGGCTTTTGGCTCTTGGGGGTGGGCCATTCATGTGGTGTAAAGGCAACTATCAAGTGGAAAAACATTGCTGTGAATATCACTGTTTTGGCTAACATTGTAAAATTGTAATGTTATAATTACTGATTTGGAGAATTAATCTTCTCTAAGATTATTTATTGGTGTTTATATCATGATTGCACTTTAGCCTTTACATACTAAAAAATTGACTTGTTGATTGTATTGCATGCTAATTGTCCTATAACATGTATGTGTAATCACAACTTGTTTTCAAACGTGGTATGACCAGACTTTTTTTCTAATTTATTTAATGTAAACTACATTTTCAATTTTCATTTAATATGTTGAGAGGGCATGACAGGTTTCTTTGACAGCGGTACACAGTGGTCTTCAGAAAGCACCATGTCATATCTACTCTATGTACATTACACAGGAGAGGTGATTTTTAAGATGTATTATATTTAAAAGATTTTTTTAAGTTTCAACTAAAGTCTGACCCTCACACAAGGAAATGCATTACATATGTTGTGCTTCCTTAATTTGCTATTTACATAAATTTGCTATTGAAATGTGAAAGCTGGCTCACTCCAACAAATACCCCATTTACATGCCATGGCCCGAGCTGTGTGCCATGTCCCACTTGCATTTTATTTTAAATTTTTTTTTTTTTTTTTGGTCTACACGGGAAGCCAACCTTAGAGTTGCTCTTTGGAAGAAATCACCAAAGTTCTGGGAAAACATGTTAAAGGTTAAACTCAAGAATGAATCTAATTTGTTTTGTAAGGAAAACAATCTTTGAACTGTTCTTTCACTCTTCCCTCCGCCCTCCTAAACTAGGTTACAGATTCTTAACTGCAAAATTCGGATTTCTTAGACACTGTTTTCCAGTATTTTGCAGGGTCTGTCAGTTGTCTGGAAGTTGGAACGTTCTCTTCCAAGAATTAAAAAGAAAGTTTTTAAATTATGAAATATTATAAAAATAAAGCTATATTTCTGATTAATGTGTTGCTGTGTTTTTGTCTAGTTGAAATGGTTCTGCCGAGCCAAGTATGCTGGTCTGTTAACAGTGAACAAAATAGTCTTTTATGAATAAGTGGTTCCTTGTACATATAGTCACCATGATCTGCTACCTGTCAGCTTTCTTGAGAACTTACGTTGATCGTTTTTGTGTATCATTATGTCTATATAGCAAAGTCCTTTTTACATATGTTCACACAGAGCACAAGCCCATTTAGCACTTTTCTCCTATCTTCCTGCATAGCTATGAGTAATTTTCCTACACTGTATTTTTAAACTTGTCAACTCTTAGCAAAAACCATCAACAGATTTCACACTATATAGCTCAACTTATATATGCTGTATATCCTAGTCATTGCAAGGCCCTGAGAATAATCAGGACAGATAACACAAGTATATCACTGGTAGAGTTACTCAACCATAGTTTTTTCAGGAACCATGGAATTAGGAGAATTTAGGGGACTCCATTTGTTCAGGGGCTATTAGAACTATCAGGGAGATGACCTCAGTCTATTCTTATGTTAAAGTTAGTAAGTTCACCAGGTCATAATCTGGAGAAATATCTGTGACATTCTTGATTATCTCTGAACATTAGAAAACAAATAAGGCTCAGTATCTTGATTCTGCTCAACTGGGGTCTTTGAAAAATGAACTTCAGAGATGGCAGGCATGCAGGATCCCAAACACAAGCCCCAGAGTCATTTCAAATACTTAAATGACAGGGAACTTTACAAATTGAATTCCTTTTTGTGGAATTAAGGTGGTGACATTTTGTCCACGTTCTGTATCAGTAAAATTGACACGTGAAAGGGATCTTCACCCTGTAGCCCTACGATACATTTCCTCTGGATTCGCAACCCTTATTCTAAGACAAAAATGAAGTTTTCTATTAGAGTAAGCATGCAGAGGCAGGCCCTGCTGGGCTGCCCACACTGTAATGGGGACGGTGTTTAGTGTTACATATGTGGAGGCAGGTGTCTGGGGCGGTGATAGAAAGCTTTGGTACCCAAGTCCTGAGAGAAGTCATGATTGCTGTCCTGAAATGCCTGAAGGGCTGTCACATACAAGAATACTTGTTCTGTGTGGCTCTTAGAGACGCTACTAAAATCAGTGAGTGGAAGTTCTAAAGAAGCAGATATCAAGTCATTGAATGAAAAATGTCTCAAGTTCAACAAGGTCACATTGTTGAAAAGTGAGCTCCGTGTCTCCGCATTGCTCTTTGTGGTAGATGGGACCCTTTGGATGGGGAATTGGACTGGATTCTTCGAAGTACACATAACTCTGGGATTCTGTTACAGGCACTGATGCTACAGTATTGTAAGTGTTGGCTGCATAAAACTTAGTGTTGACATGGCAAGTTGATTTTGGAGATCTTATTTCACTTGACTTTTTAAAAATTTTATGTTTTGCTCTTTCAATTTTTTTAAATTTATTTTTAGAGAGAGAGAGAAAGGGGGAGAAAGAGAAATATTGATTGGTTGTTCCACTTTATGCACTCACGGGGTGCTGCTTGTAGGTGCCCTGACCAGGAATCAAACCCACAACTTTGGCATATTGGGACAACACTCCAATCAACTGAGCTACCCAGGAAGGGCTTTTCACTGACTTAAACTTTGTGGCGTGTTCTATAATATGCACCCACAGTTATCCTCATAGATGCTTTTGAGGTAGGCAGGGTGAGGAGGTATCATTTCCTTTCCATGGCAGGAACAGAAAGAGCAGTTGGGGAAATAGGAGGTGTACATCTGGCAGGACCACGTGCTTCTCAGGAAGCACCTCACCTCGCTGAATGTGGTTTCAGTGTTTAAAGAGAAGGTACATTTTTGTTAGAACATGGCTCGTGAGAGCAAGCCAGCCATTTCATCTGGTGTTCAGTTGAATCAACAGCAATTCTGTCCAACCCTGGGGGAGAACTTGGCAACACTGGATTTAGTAAGAGATGGTGTACAGTGTGTCGGGCTCCAATATTATGCCTTCCTCAGGCATTTTTAAGGTAGTGCTAAATTTACTAAAGTTTTGCCTTTTGACAATACTTAAGAACATGACTTCACCATATTTTATAATGAAGGTGGGTCTTGTAGTGGTTTGAAAGATTTTTTTTTCCTTCATGAGAGACAAAGCAAGAGTGAGAACCAGAATATTGTCTTCGGGAATCTCAGCTAGTGCTTTTTATATAACATTGAGACACCTCCTCGACAAGGTTCCCAGAAAATGGTCATAGATGTATGCACTTTGCTGATTATACAGTGGTTCTCATTGTCCTAAATTCAATTTAATATTTATTATCAATTATTTCAACCATTTAATACAAGCCACTATGGGGGATATAAATTATCGCCACTCTGTCATCTCTAGACACTCCCCCACCTTGTAATGGAGCCACACCAATTTGCTAAGGAATTCCCAAGTTTCAGATAGAAGTCTGTTAGAATTTAATGCATGCATTTTTGGACACTCCAGATTGGCAGAAAGGCACTGATTTCACGCTGGTCGATCTAGCCTAGAGAAACAGCAGAGATATATATCCCAGCTCCTCTTTGTTCAAGACACAGTGGCCATTCCCCTCATTCTCAGGAGTGCACCACTTTTTTTTTGTTTGTTAATCCCTTTAAGTCAGCCTATAATTTAACATCATAGCTAAAATTTCTTAAGTAATCCTAAACACAGAGGGCAGGCAGAGGGAGCTGGGGGTCTTACAAAGTGAGCGTGCCTCTAGTATAAATAAAGGTGCTCTTGGTGGGTAAAGGCAAGTGGGTGGACAAGCAGTTGTTACTGGGATGCAGCACAAAGCCCTGAGCTTGCCTGTGTGCTCTGGCTCTCGGCTGCCCCCGCCCCCTCGCCTCCTCCAGCCCCACGCCTCTGACTCCCTCCTCTCCAGCCACTGGCTTCCTTTCAGAGCAGTGCAAATGCCCTGTGCCCTCCCCCAGCTCTGCTCTTCTGCTGTGTTACTTCTGCCTGGGATGCCCTTCTCTTTCATCTGCACCTGGTTAATTTTTACTCAGCCTTCAGGCTTCATGTCAACTGTCACTTCCCCAAGGCAGCCTCGTAACTCTTGGAACATCATGTACACTTTCACTGTCGCAATGAGCCGAGGTGCTCCTTTAGATCTAACAGTGTGATTCCTTGACACACATCTGTTTCCCCACCAGTCATTTCCATGAAAAGGGGCCATATCTGTATCTTTTATCCCTAGTATGTCCCAGTGTCACTTGCAGTACCTGGCACAGAGTGGGTCTTCACTAACTATGATTTGTGGAGCATGCAAGCATCAATAGCCTCAGGTATGTTAAAAAAGGAAGGAATGATGAGAATGTGGATTTTCTTTCAGCTGGGGAGGATCAAAGGGAGAGTAGTGCTTGAAGAATGACTAGGATTGGGGATAATAGAAAAGAGAAGCGCATTTAGGCAGTCTGAGCACAGCCATCGGGGTAGGAAGCACAGGGCGAAGGAGGCCCAGGAAATAACGATATTTCACATCATGTGACCATGTGTTTGCCCATCTGTCTCTCCATCAAGAGTAAGCTGCTTTGGTGTAGACCTATCCTGCAGTACTGTGCGCTATCCTATCCTGATGTCCAGGACTAGCACAAGACCAGTTGCTATACCACCATTCAGGACTGATCATGAAGGACAGGATTATACCTAGAGCCTAGGAAGGGCCTCAGATTGCCAGTAAGGGCAAGTAGCTCCAGCTGTAGGAAGAGAAGGCAGATCGTTGGAGCACTGCCCTTATAAAGATGCTTCCAGCTAATGCTAGAACACATGGACTAACTGGCCACCCCTCATATCAGTAGACATTTTAGATATTTTGAAATTCTTCTTTTAGCCTACATCTATGGTGGGATGGAAAATACATGGCATTTCCTCCTTTTGAATCCATGGGAAATATTGCTCATCGGCCATGATTGTCTTTCCTGATGAATGTAAATATGGCCTCAGAATCCTTTCCGGCACAGTCATGACCAGCTGTCATAGACAGAATAATGCCCCCTCCCCCGACAATTGCAGAGATACATTGCAGAGATGTGACATAAGAAAGACTCAGCCTGTTGCTGTTGACTTTGGAGGAGAGGAATGCAAGCCATGGAGAGCGGGCAGCCTCTAGATGCTGGAAAAGGCAGGAAAACAATTCTCTCCAGAGCCACCAGAAAGAAATGCAGCCCTGCTGATACCTGACTTTAGCCAAGGAACACCTATTTTGAATTTTGAAACTATAGAATTGTAAGACAATAAATAGGCACTGTGTTATGCCCCTAGGTTTTTGGTTGTCACGGCAGCCACAGACTTATATTCCAACTCATCATGTTTGGCACACAAAGCACAATCTGTTGGCCACTCCTCAAAAATGGTGCAGTTGAAGAAGGATTGGTGTTGGGTGCCTCCTTTATAATTTTCATATTCTGTAACTGTGGGCCCAGTTTCCTCAGCGGGAAAATAGGCAGAATAAGTTTGTCCTTACCCATGTAGAAAATACTTGGGGACAACCATGAAGTCTGTCTTCATTCCTACCAACTCTCTACCCAAGAACTGAAAATTTTTTAAAAACCTTCCCTGTATATTAAAATAAAAAACAAATTATAATACAAGAGAACAGAAAATTATGAAGTTATATTAAACAATCCAAATGGCAAAGAACTAACTATAACCTACTTGATGATATTAACCTAATAAAAAAAGCTAGAATTTTTTTTGAGAATTTTTATGAGCTTGTTTGAGCCAGAACTGATGACAAGTGCTGGGAAGCAAGATCTCAAATGCTCCAGAGAATGACGGTCTTGCCATTCCTTTTATGCATATAAAACGAAGCGGGGAAAGTAAGGAAGATTGCATGAAGGTGGGTGAAAACAAGGCAGGGATTGGAATATAGGACAGTTGCTATTGTATTAAAACAGCTATTAACATAGTTGAAGAAAGACATGGGCTCTGCCACTTGCTAGTGTTGTTATCTTGTACAATTTATTTCCTCAATTAGTGTATCATTTTTCCTCTCTAATTGGGATTATGAGATAATCTATGTAAAGTTTTTAGCACAATGCTTGGCAGAGTCAGTACCTAATAAATATATTTAAGAGAGAGTTGATTGAATATAGAAGTTTAGAAAAGGAAATGTCTGAAACAAATAGCAACAGCATCTGTTGGGGGTATGTGGGTCAGTAAATAAAGTTCCCTTCTGAAATTCAGAACCAACCAATAATTATGACACATGAGCCCAACACATGCAAGACCGAGTATCAGTGCTACTGGTAAATTTGGATTCCAGAAAACTCTTTGGACCCATATTTCTATGTGCTGCTTTTAGACCTTAATTCACCTGCTCTACTTGGGTTCTTGGGACCCTATGTTTTCATTCTTCAGCAGGTCAATGTAGTGTCCTTGGCTTTCTTTTCTTGGCAGTCTCTACTGTAGCTATGGTAGAAAATCTATTCTTCTTTCTGGCTGCCCAGCATTTGAACCCTTTCATATTTTGCAGGGAGATTCCCCCGCCTAATGGGGTAGAGCCATTTCCTACAGGAGAACCAGAAAGTGTCACATACTGTCTTTGCCAACCTTTCCTGAAGCTTTGTGACTTAGATCACCAATCACACATGTCCACCTCAGGAGGCAGGAGTGTACAGAAACCATTCTGGCAGTGGAAGATGGTGGAAGCAGCAGCTCCATCCATTTTCTGAGATATCGTCAATGACAGCTCTGGCAGCGGGATCCAATATCCAGTTTGGTTGCAGCAAGTTGTGATATTTGTGTCCACTAACAGTTACCCTGGTGTCTTCCCTGGACCATCTTAGTCATATAATTTTGGCATTGCTCCTGGCTGGGTAGCACCTCCTCACCTGGCTCTCTATCCTTCCCAGAGATAATATGACCTTACAATGACATTTTAATAAACTCCGTTTTGATAAATCAGCTAGAATCAGTTTCTGTTGCTTGCCACTGAGAACCCAGATGAATATAGCATATCTGTTTTAAGTAGCTTGGGAGGAGGAACCACTTCCTTTAAAGTGGTCTGGAATGAATTTCACATGGTCTGCAATGAAGTGGCTGTTGACTCTGTAGCATTAAAGAGGTTTTGTGCATTTTTACTCAGCCCATTCCTTCTATGCTTCAGGATCCAGTACAGGGTATCCCACTATTTGCTTTATAGTTTAGGAGAGAGTTGTTCATCAAATTGAATGCTCAGTCTAGCCTAATAGTTTAGATGAGTTCTGTTTTAAGATGTTACCAAAAGGATAGGAGACACCTGGATCTTCAAGGGGCACTTTGAAGTTCTAAACAGGATATGGAAATTCTTGAGGCAGAGGCGGTGGTTCAGTTTCTTCTAAAACTTTTGTGGTGGCGATTCTGAAAGAGAAAATTGGTATGGGATGTCACTAGCTGGTTTTCTAGAGCCTAAGCCCTTGTGAAGCCGGCAATGACAAGTCTGAATGGTCGCCATGCTGAAAAAACCATTGACATGCCAAAACCATCAGCCCCCAGAGTGCACGTGCGGAGGTCTGTGTCCCAAGACACTGTCGCCATCCACTTCTCGGCATCCGGGGAGGAGGAGGAAGAAGAGGAGGAGTTCAGGGAGTTTCTTGAGGAGGGGCTGGACGACCAAAGCATTGTAACAGGGCTTGAAGCCAAGGAAGACCTCTATCTTGAACCTCGGGGTGGCCATGACCCCTCTGGCCTGGCTGCCCAGCCCATCCTGGCAGATGGACCGTCTGGGTTCCCTGCCGTTTTGCCCGTTTCAGAAAACACTGTAAAGCTGTTGGAGGCCCCTCCTCCGGCAACACAAGTATTAAGTACAGTGCTATTGGCTCTGTCCCCAGGGTCATCTTCATCAGGGCCCTTAGCTAGCTCTCCCAGTGTGTCATCCCTTTCTGAGCAGAAAACCAGTTCTTCTTCCCCATTGTCCTCTCCTTCCAAGTCTCCTGTCCTCTCATCCAGTGCCTCATCCTCCACCCTTTCCAGCGCAAAACCCTTTATGAGCCTTGTGAAGTCCCTGTCTACCGAGGTGGAGCCAAAAGAGCCCCCACACCCCGCAAGGCACAGGCACGTGATGAAGACATTAGTCAAGTCTCTGTCCACGGACACCTCCAGGCAGGAGTCAGATACTGTGTCCTATAAACCACCTGATTCCAAGCTGAATTTACACCTGTTCAAGCAGTTTACCCAGCCATGAAACACAGGTGGAGACTCCAAAACTGCACCTTCTTCCCCGCTGACTTCTCCCTCCGATACACACTCCTTTTTTAAAGTGCCCGAAATGGAGGCAAAAATCCAAGACACTAAGTGATGTCTTTCAGAAGTCATATATGAGCCTTTTCAGCTCCTTAGCAAAATTATAGGGGAAGAAAGTGGCAGCCATAGACCCAAAGCCTTATCTTCAAGTGCTTCAGAACTCTCCAACCTGTCCAGCTTGAACGGTCACGTGGAAAGCAATCACAACGACAGCATCAAGGAAGAGGAGCGTGATTCCGAGGGGGATGGCGATGGAAGCGGCCCCAGCGGCCCCAGAAGTGACCACGCAAAGGCCACCGACGAGCCCCCGAAAGAGGCAGACCTGAAGAGTTCCCAGGGGAGCAGCCTGAAGGATTTAGGCCTGAAGACAAGCTCTCTAGTCCTTGAGAAATGTTCTTTGTCTGCCTTAGTGAGCAAAGAAGACGAAGAGTTTTGTGAACTATACCCTGAGGAGTTTGATTTGAGAATGGAGGGCGAGGATAAAATTGATAAGCTCCGAGATACGCCTCTCAAGCCAGAGGAGCTGGCGGATGATGGCCTTGCTCTTGACAGCGATGAAGAGATGGACTTGGCCATGCAGCGCCCGGAATTACCAGTGAAGACACTGGGCTTCTTTATACTGTGTGTCTATGCGTACCTCATCCTCCCTCTCCCCCGTTACATGAGTGGACTCTTTCTGGGAATCGGCCTGGGATTCATGACTGCAGTTTGCATGGTTTGGTTTTTTATACCACCAAGTGCTCATAAATACCACAGACTACATAAAAACCAACAACACTGGAACACAAGATCTCTGGATATCAAAGAACCAGATATACTGAAGGGATGGATGAATGAAATTTACAACTATGATCCAGAAACCTGCCATGCAACTCTGACACATTCAGTGTTTGTTCGACTTGAGGGTGGGACCTTAAGACTTTCAAAGCCCAATAAAAATATATTCAGGAGGGCAAGCTACAATGAAACAAAGCCAGATGTCACCTATATCAGCCAGAAAATCTACAACCTCTCAGACAGCAAGATTTATCTTGTACCTAAAAGTTTGGCTCGTAAATGAATCTGGAATAAAAAGTACCCCATTTGCATCGAGCTTGGTCGACAAGATGAATGTATGTCCAAGGCCCAGACTGATAAAGAGACTTCTGAAGAAAAGCTGCCAGCTGAGAGAGACCTGGGAAGCGAGGACCCTAAGAAGCCACCCCATCCTCAGGAGGGAACAAGATCTGGCCAGTGAGATCAGATACTGTATCTCTTTGGGAGAACTGGCCGAAAAAAAGAGGGGTGGTTTAGGAGATTTATTCTGGCATCTAAGCTGAAGTCGGAAACCAAGAAGCCACCTGGTGTCTCTGGAAGTAAACCAGGCGTTTTGCCCTCACACAGCAGGTACAGCAGTCCCTTGGGGCACCTGACCCACAGTCGCAGCAGCAGTAAAGGCAGCGTGGAGGAGATTATGTCCCAGCCGAAGCAGAAGGAGCTGGTGGGCAGCGTGTGGCAGAAAATGCTTCTGGACTACAGTGTGTACATGGCCAGGTGTGTCCCCCAAGAGAACCGCAGTCCCCAGAGGAGTCCCGTGCAGAGTGCAGAGAGCAGCCCCACGGCTGGGAAAAAGCTCCCCTACTTTATGAATGAGTTAACTCTGATGGAACTTGACATGGGGGTGGCTGTGCCAAAAATCCTTCAGGCCTTCAAGCCTTATGTTGATCACCAAGGACTCTGGATCGATTTGGAAATGTCCTACAATGGGTCCTTTCTGATGACTCTTGAGACCAAAATGAATTTGACCAAACTAAGTAAAGAGCCTCTTGTTGAAGCCCTGAAGGTTGGAGAAATTGGCAAAGAAGGTTGCAGGCCCAGGACTTACGGCCTGGCTGACAGCGAGGAGGAGTCCTCCAGTGCTGGCTCCTCCGAGGAAGACGATGCACCAGAGCCCAGCACGGGAGATAAACCAATTCTTCCAGGGACCGAAGGGTATGTTGGAGGTCATCGAACAAGTAAGATTATGAGGTTTGTTGATAAAATTATCAAGTCAAAATATTTCCAAAAAGCAACGGAGACAGAATTCATTAAAAAGAAGATTGAAGAAGTCTCCAACACACCCCTGCTGCTAACTGTAGATGTACAAGGATGTAGAGGAACCTTGGCAGTCAACATTCCACCTCCCCCAACTGACCGAATATGGTATGGTTTCCGGAAGCCACCTTACGTAGAGCTGAAAGCTCAGCCAAAACTTGGAGAGAGAGAAGTGACTTTAGTTCATGTGACAGACTGGATAGAGAAGAAACTGGAGCAAGAGTTTCAGAAAGTTTTTGTCATGCCAAACATGGATGATGTCTATATCCCTATAATGCACTCAGCCATGGACCCTCACTCCACTTCCTGCCTCCTGAAAGACCCGCTTATGGAGGTCGCCGATCAGCTGTGATGGGTGAAGGCCTGACGTTGCCAGTCTTATGAGATCTAGCTCCAGGTGTGGGGTTCTTGGCTGCCTTCTGTGCTGTAGCACAGGCCTTTCCTCGTGCCACAGCTTCTGCCCTCTGCCTGCCAGTGCCCATTCCACGGTGAGGTGTCATTCCATGTGCCCAGCCACCGGTGTCTGGATTGCCTACTGCAAAGCTTTGACTCAAAGGAGATGAGAAGAATCATCACCATAGATCCAGAGGTTATGTGACTCCTACTATGGTTTTTTAAGTCTACCAGTCTTTGTGGCAGCAAAAGAGCACATTAAGAGCAAAGCTACAACTGGAAGGCTTCCCTCCCCTTGCCTCAACTCCAAAGCTTTTCCTCAGGCAGCCAGAGCACAAATGGAACATTGTCTCACTCCTAGTTTGTATATGGTGCAGCCCTCCATGTTCTGAATGTCAACACGGTTAACATGTGGAGGGTGGGGAACGGAATTTTGTGAATGATTTCATTGGTGATAACAGGATACGCATAGCAACTTTTCTTTGTATTAAATTGTGCATTTTGGAAGCAAGTAGCCATAGAACATACACTAACACATTATCAGCTGGGGTGTGGACAGTGAGATTTCTGTGAACATTAGGCAAAGCCATGAGCTCAAACCATCCCAAACCTTTTATCAGTGAGGTACATCACCTGGTTCTAATCCCAAATGATTTCCTGACATGAGCATATGTGAAAATATCAAATACCACCTGACCAGATCACCTTTCGTGTGCTCCAGGAACCTTTATACAGGTTTTCTACAGGCTTTGTTCATCTAATTGGTTCGGGATGTTTTCTGATGGCCCAAACAGAACAGCTCTGATTGTGAGGTCAAGACCAAAGTTTGCTCAACATTAAACACTACATATCTCAATGATACTCCTTCAATGTTGCCAACTTTAATTTGTGCATTTGTGTCAGAATGTCTCGTTTACAAGTGTGGAGGCCCTGCCTCATTGTATAATTTGCTTTGAGAAGTACATTAAAATTTGTTTAAAGCTGCATTCAACATCAAAATTACATTGAGTAACTTTTGATATTTACATGTGTATTAAGCTAATAGTGGTTTTTTTAAACAGCACCTTGCCTGAACGTGACTTTTGAAATTAATATATTGAAAAACATTGAATCTTTATTTCCCTTATTTGATGACTTTAACTGTACCATTAAACCGTTTGACTTAAATTTGACCATTCCAGTTGGTGTGCTGTTCTAGTTTTTCATTGTGTAGGCCAGTTTGCCAGTCAGTCCGCATGTCTTGTTCACTGGTCTTGTGCAATAACTAAAAGCAAAGGACTAGATGCACTACTGTGTAAAGAGATTACACGACTGTACCCTATTGCACTTAAATTAGTATATGGGGATTTACAATCTCTTGCATTGTTTCACAAAATAAATATCTCACGTCAAATAAAAAGAAAAAAAGATGTTACCAAAAGGCTCTTGTAAAAATCATGACAATTAACTATATATTTATCCATCCATCCAGCCAGCCATCCAGCCATCCAGCCATACAGTCATCTGACACCATTGGCCAATATTGACAAGGAAATGTATGAGCAAGTCACTGTGGTAGGTACAAGGGATATTGGCTGCCTCCTAACCATGGAGTAGCTGGTGAAATTTTCTGAACTATCCACGCCAGTCCCCGTCACTGTTGGCCTCCTCTGGAATGGTGCCCACATTAGCCTGAATGGGCTTCGGGATTCTGCAGTCTTCCAGGACCAAAGGGTTTAAATGAAATCCCTGACTCAGTTGTTCTCTTTCCCGTGACACTGTTTATTTTCTTCACAGCACTGGTTACTCTCTGAAATTATTTTATTTATTCATTTATTTGTTTATTATCTGTCCCCTACCCAGCCTCATGGGACTGTCTTGTCCATCTTATTCCCTGAATACTGCCAAAGTCCTGATGGATGAAGATTTGTTCAATGAATTGATTCTAGAGAGAAAATCCTTCTTGCGAGCTCTGATTTGGAGCAGGGCTAAGGGATAGCCACTGTTGACTGGGAAGTTGCAGTGAAAACACTTGGAGGAATCCCTGCAGTATATAGATTATACAGAGGAATTTGGGAGGACCACTTTTGGCTTCAATGTTCTTCCTTAAATGAAGGCAGTTTGTAGCTGAGGCTGATCCTCCTGGGGACAGCATAGGTTTCTGCAAGAAGGAAGCTGAGCTAAAAGATAATCCTGCCTCCCCAGGTGGTAACAGGAACCCCTCTGAGATTACTTGATGGCAGTGATTCTCAACCCCTGATGAGAGTCAAAATCACCTGGGAAATTGGGTGACCATACAAAGGCCCAGGACCTATCCTAGTTCAGCAAGTTTTGTCATCTGTGTTCTCTACTAGCTGTCCAGCTAACTCAATACACACACCAAAGTTTGAAATCAACTGCTCTGTATGGCTGCATGTACCAAAGTTTGTTCCATGAAACACAATTACTTAGAATGTTAATAGTTAAATAAGTGAATTATCAAGTTAAACATGTTTCACTACTGCAGGTGGTTCAGAGTCATTAAAATGCAAATGTGAATTCTGAATCTCTCATGGGGGGACAGGGCTTGGGGGGGAGTGAACAAATGCTTCCTAAATTTATTTGGCCTTGAAAAGGTTTCTTTTAGGGAAACTACATTAATACATTCTGCAGCTACAGTACTTATTGTTCAAAATATACCTTGGTAAACATTTCAAAAGTCCCATCATGGGGTATAACTCTCTCTGGATAATTTAGGACACTTTTATTTTTTGTATTTTTTTATGCTTATTTATTTTTTAAAAGCAGCTCACAGTTAACAGCCAGAGTGACCAATTATTAAAAATGGTTTGGGGTTCACCTAAACTTTTGCATATCAAAATAGTCTATGGACCAGCAGTTTCCAGCATCACTTGGGATTTTGTTATAATGCACAATACAAGGTCCTGCCCCAGAACTATTGAATTGGAATCTACATTTAATGAGGATTTCTAGATGATTCATTAGCCACAATATAGAGAAGTGATTTTTAATCAGGGGTACAAGAAATATATGGGGAGCCACCCAATATACAATTACCAGCCCTCTCCTTACCATCCTTTATCAGAATTTCTGATCAACTCTTGTAAAAAGTGAGAAGGAGAAAAAGTACCCCTAGGTAGTACTGATATTCTCTCAGGATCTTCCCTTCTTTGGCCTAGTTTTTCCAAGGTGGTCTCCTGGCCGAGGAAGTCAGAGAAAGCAGTCCTTACCAATTCAGGATACCCAGCAAAAAGCAAGCCCTTCCTGAAACTTACAGTGTTTCTCAAATTGTAAATTTCATAAGTGAATTTATTGGATAGAATATCAAGAGAAAAAGCTGGCTAGGGCTGCAAAGATTGCTTTGGATTTTACCATTCGTTTTTAGACTTCTTAGCACAAATGAACTGAGAGTGAAGTTCAAGGTTATGTTGTTTGTTTATTCTGAAGAGCTTTCACCTCCCTCTCTGAAATATGCTGCCAAGTGTACCACCCAGTGGATCATTCAGGTAATCCATCCCTTTTTTTCCTCTATTCGTAGGGCCTTTCCCTGGTTTCTGGTCTTTTGGTATGTACCTGTATCCTCTCTGTTGCCTTGCCATTTGGTTTTCAGCAGTTGTATCATGTTATACCTAAGTGTGGTTTTCTTTTTCTTTATGTTGCTTAGGATTATTTGTTAAGTCTGTGGCAGAGTTTCGTGAATTTGTGTGTTGATACCGCTCTTTGAATTTGGAAAATTCTTGGCCATTGTATGTTCAAATTGTACTTCTGTCATATTCTCTCCTATCCTTCTGGGGCTCATATTATATGTGTTGTACCTTTCACTGTGCCCCAAATAATATCTTTTGTGTTTTTTTCTATATTTTTCATTCTTATTTTCTCTATGCTTCATTTGGGATATTTTCTATTGACCATTCTTCGATTCCATTAATCCTGTCTTCCGTGTCTAGTCCTATTAAACTTACAATAGCAGATATTATATTTTGAAATTTTGAAATTTCCATTCAATTCTTTTTTACAGATCATAATTCCCTGAAAATTTCTCCATTTATAAGTTGATTTTCTGTGTTCTTGAATGTATTAATCCATTGAAGTCCTTGTCAGCTGACTCCAAATATACCTGTTACCTGTGGTTCTATTTCTATTGAATATTTTTTTCCTGAGCTTTTCGGTAATATGATGGCTCAAAACATGTCTATAAACTTTGTATTGAGTGCTGGTTGTTGTGTATAAAAATTATGTAACTCCAAGTGACTTTTTTCTGCTTCATAGTGGGCTTATCCTTTTCTTCCCCAGGCAGATAAAATTGGGACTAATCATCTCAAACCAAATATGGAATGAAGTGAGGCTGACTTTTACTTGTGGTAAAGTTAAATCTACCTCTGATTTGTTTCTGTGACTATTGTGTTGTCCTTTAGGGAAGTGAATGCCTGGTATGTTTGTTGGTCTTCCTCTTTCTAGCAGAATCTAATCTTTGTCTCCTCAAAATTATGAAAGAGTGGAACTTCTCTCTGATTTTCAGAGGTTTTTGGCATAGCTTGCAAGTCCTAAACTATACTCTTTGTTTCCCCAGTACCATTAGTCTATGAAAAAAAGTGTGACTTTGTGTTTCAGAGGTTTTCTGCTTAGCTTTTTAACCACCAGCCCTCACAGCTTCAGAAATTGGCACTGGTCTTGAGAGGCTGTGTATTTGAGGTCCCTCAAGCCTTTAATTACATCTCTAAAGCCCCACAAGACCATTAAAATCTCTGCTGGCTTTTCTTTCCCACAACAGTCTGGGAAAATCTCAGATTTCCAACCTCTTAGAATCTGCATATGCCCCAAGGGAAAAAGTGCTCTGATTGCCTGAGAGCTGAAGTTCTCTCCTCTTGAGAAATTTAGCCATTCTTGTCCTTTCTGATTCAGCAGCTGTCTGATGTCTTTATACAAGTAATTCTGTATCTTATCCAGTGTTTTAGTTCTTGAAGGAAGGTCAGCCTCAGATTACTCCATTCTACCCAGAACATAACTCTTTTATCTTGTCTTTTGAACTACTACTTTGATCATACAATTTCTCTGGTTTTTCATTTTGGTTTCACTCTGGATACTATTTCTTGGCTCCCCCTCAGCAATGAGCCAGGTTAATCTCTCAATCCCTACCCTCAGGGTAGGTCCCCAACACAGGTCAAGTGTCTTAGGCTTCCATCTAATCAGACAGCAGACTACCAGGAAAAAAAAAAAAAAACTAATAGGA